TTTTTTTTTTTTTGCACATGAATCCAGCTATTCAAAATGGCACAAGAACCTAGTTGTGACCAATGTCATTCACAAAGCGATGTGACAAAGACAAGTGTAATAGTGAAACCCTACATAATAGCGAACCAGCAATGGGGCCCGCAGGGCTGTCCAGCTTGGGGTTCATAGGGAACCCTTAAAAATTTAGCCTTAGGGGTGCCTTTCACTTCATTATTGAGACCCAAAAAGAATGCTAGGACTATGAAACAAACAACTGCAACTCCTCTCAGATTCTCTTCATACTGCACGTTGCAACAAAGCCTGCCTTTTTTACATTTCAAAAGAGGCTGCTTTCTCTTTAAAAAGTAGGAGCTACTTGGTCTGATGCAGCTGCCTTTATCAACCATGAAGTTCCCAGCAAGGTGCTGTTAGTGCCTGATTAAACCTCATACCAACCCATGTCCCCCATGGTAACCCAGAAGACATCCGCTGAGACCGGGAGCGCTGATTCAGTTTAATTGCCCAGGCTCTCTGTGATGACCGGATTTCTTGTCTCTCAAGGCCTGGAATGGAAATCCATGTGATCAGATGAATTATCCGAGTGTCTTGACAGATCTGAAATATGAATATGGAGATGGCGTTGTGCTCCGCAGTGACTTATGAAACCCCGACGGTAAAATATCTGCCATTGAAACAATTTCAGGAGTGTGTGCGTGATTCACATACAACTCATTTTCTAATGGAACACTAATTATTAATAAATCAGACCAAAAACAAGTGTGTATAATATATATATACATGTAAGATATATACATATGCATAAGATATACACATGTATATATCTATACACATATGTTTAGTTCTCTCTCTCTCTCTCTCTCTCTTTCTCTCTCTCTCTCTGAATGGGAACCTGCAATCTCCTGGAATCCGCAACACATTTCTGCTCTACCAGAAGAAGAAATGCAAGGAAGAAGTCAGACAAGATACTCTCACAAACTTCAGGTCACCAGATTCCTCCTGGAACCTCCCTTCCTTCTGGAAAGCCATCAAAAGTAAAGGCACTGGCCCTACAGGACCACGGGGTCACTTAAGGAACATTATAGAGCGATGATTCTCAGCCTTCTCAGCTTCAAACTCCCTTCTAGAAATTGCACCCCCCATCCCACATCAGACTATTTGTTCCAAAGGCTTTTATCTACCAAAATTGAGGTGGGGGGGCTCTAAGAACAGCTTGAGATCTACTGGTCATACCCCAGAGTCCCTGTGCTGACAGTGACATCTTTCCCATCCACACAAATTATCCGTCGTTAACACACAGACTTGCTATATTTCTAACCAAATCAAAGAAATTGTACTGATCTTTTCTGCAGCCTTACTCCGAGTAAATATGTGATTTCCATTAGGCTTTTTGCAATATGTAAAATATATAGACTGCCGTTACCACCTTCAGGACTTCTGGGTGTTTAGGGACCCTTAAATGAATCACTCCTATGCCCAAAATTAGTTTGAAGATGAAAATTATAGCTAAGGGGGGAAAGAAGTGTTGGTGTAACAAGATATTTAAAAGCAAAAAATTTTTCCCATCTGGGTAGGTCCAGGCCTAGCATTGGAGAAAGGGATGTTTTCAAAATGAGAGTAACTGCTAAAGCAAAATGTGTAAAACTGAGACACTGGGCAAAGAAGGGAAGCATGTTGGTTTATAAGAGAAAACAATTCTACTGTGTTAAACTGTTTCCCCTGAAATAACATTTCCACTCAGCTGGGAAATTTTCTGGGGTCCCCAAACTTCATTAGGTTTTTAGCAACTACCCCAAGGAGAACCCAAAAGGCAGGGAATAGTTACATGATTGACATGCATTGGGTGACAGAAATAAAGGAAGCTGCACATGCTTTTGTTAATTAACATGTTTTTTCCTCAGTGCTGTAAGGAGGGAAATTGGAAATCTGTAATCAAGCAGATCTCTGAGTTTTCCAAGAACGGCTGTTCTCTTCCCAGCCAGGGTTAAAAGACAATTTGTTGCACTCTGTGCAAATCCTGACTTGGTTCCTGTCTTACTTAAGTGAGATTTCAGAAGTAGTCATAAATCTTTTAAAAATATTTATTATTCATTCATTTTGGGGCAGATTTTATGATTCTAAAACTCCAGGATCTGTTTGAAAGTTTCCTGAGTTTCAAGTTTCATAGAGAAAGGTTGACAGGGAACCAAATTCCACCAGTGGTTTGGTGGTGTGTGAGCACAGGCCATCAGCCAGAACATTCTAACATGTCTACAAAGGGCATGATTTGGGGTCGTCTCTGCCGAGAAATTCTATGGACTAGGGGGAAACACTTTCTTCCTTTCCCCAATACTGACTTGAACTAGTTTCTAAAAATGGACAGAAATGCCTCGTCAGCTTTGTGATAAATCCAATCACCTTGTTAATAAACAGAAAAGGGAACTATCAACACAACTTATTTTCCACTAGCTAGTTAATGCAAATAGGCAAGCTAATGGGCAAAATTCTGACTTTATTTTATTTATTGCTTTACCCTACACCAAATGTAAATGTAAAAGCCTCCTGAATTGGGTGCCTTATAATCTCGGTCCACTGATGGATTTTCTAGAAGCAGACTTACATTTCCCCCAAAAGAGAACCCTGTAAACATTGACATTGCTCTGTGTGGATATCAAATCTGTGTCTCATGCACGGGGTGCAGCGGATGCAGAAACCCACATCCACCTTCAGGAGAGGCAGCCTGGAGGAGTAGCATGAAACAAGACAAGAAGATTTGGTGGATGGGTTTTCGAAAAATATTCCTTACAGCCAAGTCTATGAGGCTAGGGGACAGTCTTCCAAGGGAAGTGGTGGGAACCCCACAGTTAGTAGCATTTAGGAGGGGCCTTGCTGGAGCTATGGAAATGTAACCCTAGGTTAAAAACTGTCCTGAAAAGGGAAGAGGGGAGACAAGTTTAAGGGATTCTTTCAGCTCTAATTTCTAACAATCTTTTTAGACTACAGAGAAAAATAAATAAATAAATGAAACAGGAATAAAAGGAACAAAAATCAGAAGAGAAAATAATGTTAAGGCACAACTTCAAGAAACACACCAGAAGGCCCTCATGATCTCCCAGCCACTGTTCCATCCAAATGCCACGTAGGGTGTGCGAGCTGAAAATCGAGTGGGTGGAAGGGAGAGCCCTCTCAACTGACTGTGAACAAATCCTGCGAACTCCAGAGCCATTTATCTAAACCAAGTGCTGAAAGAAAGGAAGCCCAAGATGGGGTAGCCACTAAGATAGATTTCCTTGTGGAGTTTGGCTATTTCTCCTCACTTTTAATCAATGCAATCCTGTCTACACAGCCTACTTTCCTTAGCAAAGAAGTCCGGACTTAGGCTCTGAGCTTGCTTTTTTTCCTTTCTTTCTTTTTTTGTTTTTAACTAAAGACATATTGGCAATATCATGGTACATGACTTCCCAGATTTCTAGCAAGCAGAGTCATAGATAACCTGAATACCAGAGTGCTAGCTGCTTCACCCCAGTTGAAATCAGCCTAGATTAAACATGTAATCGATATAGTATTCCAGCATGAATAGGCAGGATCTGTGTATTTATACTGGTATGTGTGTGTGTGTGCATGTGTGGGCGTGTGTATGGTGAACAGTAGACATTTCCATACTTCGGATTTTTTCTTTAACTGGTGAAAATAACTGTGACCTGAATAGAGAATGAACCAGGCTCCAAAAAGGCAGTTTTCCTGAACATGTACAGACAAAGGAAATAGTTTCCTTACCAGAAAGGAGTCACTTGAAAGCTTTTAGGCCAGACCCTGCTCGGGCTCAGATTTCTTTTCTTTTAGCCCTTTGATGAACAACTCATATGGAGATTCAAGCGTCTTGTGCCTGGTTTGAATTTAAGCTGTTGCTGACTTTAGTGGAAAACTTTCATAAACTCCACTCAGGCTTTCTTCCTTTCCCCACCACTGCTGACCAGGTTTTGATATATCTTTGGATATTCATCGTGAATCATTCATTCTCAGTGTGATCATTATTATCAACTTGACAGAAAACAATTTTTCCCCAAGAAAGACTGAATTCAGTCTTCTCCTTTCTTCTGGGGCTCTGAGCTCTGTCGTTCTTCTGGAGCAGGGGGAGGGGGAGGCGGGGCTGGGGGACTACTGGATGCAGGAAGAAGGATGGAATGGGAGTGAAGCCTGCTGACAGCTGCTAGCGATCGCCTATCTCCGTGGCAGTATTATTGCTGGGACAATACCACATGGATCTCGTCCAGTACCCTAGCAAAATGGCATTTTCTCCACGTGCCAAAGCCTTTCTTCAGGAAGGAGGTGGGTAGAGAGTATAGTTTTCAAGTAAAGCCTTTGCTCTCAAAACAGGACCCTTCCTGTGGCTCACTTGAGAATAGTGCCCTGAAGGATTTCCCCCCTCTTTTCTGGGCTCTTTGGTGACAGTTAAAGTCTGCAATGCCCCAAACACTTTGTTCGGGAACCTGTGCTGCCTTTGGAATTGTGCAGTGAAAAACAAGAGCCTTGGAATCAATCCAGCCTGGATTTGGAGCCCAGCTCTGCCACTTACGTGGGTAACTTTAATAACAAGTCTTCCTGCTCCTCGGTGTATAAGTGAATTTGAGATATCCTCAATTTCTGGATATTGGAAAGATTAAATGAGATCACGCTTCTAAAGTTCACTGTCTCTGCTTCATTCTTCCTCTCTGACCCTTTGCTCTTGTTGATAACTCTGCAAATTCTCCTGGTCCTACGTAACTAAAACAATTGTGTCCCGTCCAAGAATGGAGGATCCAAGAATGATCCCTAGGGTGTGTGGGGCCTGAGGCAAATCACATGGCGTGTCCTCACTCCCAACGTGTTTACAAAGACACCATCAGATTTAAGCGATTTTGAGAGCAGGTTTGAGTTGAAGATGAAAAACATCGCCGAAAAGGAGAAGTCTAAGGAATATGTGTGGAAGCAGGAAAAGGGTGCATCCTGTCCGGCCTCGGGGTGGCTGTGTGGGGCGCTGTAAGATGCTCCACTCCCAGCAGCACTGATCCCCAGGGGCCCCTGAATTCAGCTCAGGACTTGCTCATCGCTGCAGCGCAGGCCCCCACCCCTGCCCCCACCCAAAGCGGACATCTTGATTGGCCAAGACCCCAGGAGTGGCTCTCACAGGAACGCTCCTCACTTGCAGTTCTTGAACTTCCGGAGGCTCACTTGCCACAGTTCCTGTATAAACTTTACTGCAAACGAGCCAAGTAGTTTGTATTTGTCTTTATAATGGTGCAAATCCAATAGGTAGCTACCCACACACCCACTTCAATTAAAAATATATAAGACGCACCGCACGCAGTGGCTCATGCCTGTAGTCCCAGCACTTTGGGAGGTCAAAGTGGGCGGATCATCCGAGGTCAGGAGTTCGAGAACATCCCGGCCAACATGGCAAATCACATCTCTACTAAAAATACAAAAACTAGCCAGGCATGGTGGTACATGTCTGTAATCCCAGCTACTCAAGAGGCTGAGGCACAAGAATTGCTTGAACCCAAGTGGCAGAGGTTGCAGTGAGCCAACATTGCACCACTGCACTCCAACCTGGGTAACAGAGCAAGACTCCGTATCTGTCTGTCTATCTATCTATCTATCTGTCTGTCTGTCTGTCTGTCTGTCTATCTATCTATCTACCTACCTACCTATATTATTTATATATATATAAATTACATCCCATTTTAAAAACCAGGCTGGGTGTGGTGGCTGTTGCCTGTAATCCCAGCACTTTGGAAGGTTGAGGCAGGAGGATCGCTTGAGCCCAGGAGTTCAAGACTAGTCTGGATAACATAGTGAGACTTTGCCTCTATCAAAAAAATTTAGCTGGGTGTGGTGACATGCATCTGTCGTCCTAGCTGCTTGGGAGGCTGAGGCAGGTGGATCATTTGATCCCCAGAGGCTGAGGGGGTAGTGAGCCATGATTATGCCACTGTACTCCAGCCTAGGCAACACAGCAAGACCTTGTCTCAAAAAAATAGAGAAAGAAGAAAGGAGAGGAGAGGAGTGGGAGAAAGAGAAACAGAAGAGAAGAGAAAGAGAAGAGGAGAGAGGGAAGGAAGGAAGGAAGGAAGGAAGGAAGGAAGGAAGGAAGGAAGGAAGGAAGGAAGCCCTACAGAATATAACCACATAGCTGAGGCTTCCCTTTGAACACAGCCCATTGGTGTAGGTGTTTCCTAAGGCTGCTCCAACAACTTACCATGACCTAAGTGGCTTAAAACAAGACAAATGTGTTCTTTTGCCATTCTGGAGGCCAGACAGAGGAAATTAGTCTTACCAGTTCAAGTCAAGGTGTCAGCAGGACTGTTCTTTCCAGAGGACCTAGGGGGAGAACATGTTCCTTGATTCTTCCAGCTTCTTGTGGCAGCTCCATCCCTTGGCTTGTGGCTACATCCACTCCAGGCTTTGTCTCTGGGGTCACATTGCCTTCTCTTCTGGAATCAAATCTCCCTCTGCTCTCTCTTATAAGAACACTTCGAATGGCATTTAGGGCCCACTATAATAATGAGGATAATCTCTCCATCTTGAACTCCTTGATTTAATCACATCTGCCAAGTCCCTCCTGCCATATGAGGTGACACTCACAGGCTTCAGGGCATAATGACGTGAACATCTTTGGGGACCTTTATTTAGCCTTCCGCAAGTGGAAATCCTCCTTCGTTAACAATAGACAACAGTTGCCTTGTTACAAAGTGTTTCTTGCCCAATAGAATGGAAAAACAATCACTCTCTGGCATTCTATTTTTTTTCCATTCTAAATCTATAATACACATGCAAAACCATTATATTACATGGGCACATCATATTCTGCTACTGCCATTATCTCCGTCATCTCAGGAAAGGAGATGAGAAGTGGATTCTAAAGATAGTGACAATCTAAGACCTCATTCTCCTTTATGCAGAATGACTGAACACAAACATCTCAGACTTTCTCCATCATGTTAAAATTGATGATGTGCTCCAAGTCTGGCCAGAAAGCTGTGCTTTTCCAGTCACATAAAAACCTAAATTTGTACCTCCTTAAGGGACAAAGAATGGCATTAAAGCTAGGAATGGCTGTCCAGTTAAAAAAAAACAGGAGGTTGTAAGAAAACAGCTATTTAAAAGCCACTCTGATATGACCTGCTCCCCAAACAATTCATTGCAGGGTCACAGTCATTGTTGCCAGGTGGCATAACATTTATTATTATGGTGTCCTGGGCTCCTTGGATTGGTAACAGACATATCTATTCCTCAGAGGATGAGCAAAGGTTGATAATGTCCTCTTACCCTAGGCGAGCTGAACTTCAACTGTCAAGATACTGGTTGACATTAAGACTTTGCAACACCTATTATTGTCTGTCACCTCCAGAGATAAACTCTCTCGTGACTGGTTTCTCACGTCGCCAGCCACTGATGCCATTTTACTCTATCTCTTTTGTAGACTGGCTCTTGGTTTCCTGATACTGTCTGTCTGGCTGGGTTTGGTCATATGCTCAAAGCTAAATTCACAGACCTCCAGACCTCACAGTGTGATGGGATAGGAAATAATCAGAGGGGCCTGGACGGAGTTAGACTGTCAGAGAAGCTGCAAATCAGCAAAAGAACGAAAGCCCCTTGACCCTGAGCACATCTGCCACGTATTTAATTCTACGTTCTTGCCAAGCCCTGAAAACCCTGGCTGGGGAGACTTGGGAGTGAATGGGGTTATGAAGTCTAGGAGAATGTAGAGGTGAGAAGGCTGGCGGGCTGCCGGCTGCTGCGCTCCCCTCCCTGGCAGGGACTGGGTGTAGGGTCGGTGGTGGCGAAGTGGACCCTGCCAGCCGTGGAGATAGTTAGGGACACAAACGTAACCAGCTATGTGCGGGTGTCTGGATGACCCGCCGCAAGTTGTACTGCATCAATTTTATTTGATCGCTTCTTTGCCAGCTGGCTCCAGACCAGAGCAAGCAAATGAGTTTTTCCCTGTTCCTTGGGGTTTCTGATCTCAGGGCCACGTTAAGGAGATCCCAAAATTTGGGAGGAAGTGAGCCTGTGTGTTCCTGAGTTCCTGAGTGGCTTCTCATTTCCACATCTTAAGGTCAAATTAGAAATGGGAGCAGAAAGGTTTTGTTTAGGAAATGCCAGAGGGACCTTCTTGATAGGGCTGCACCTACTCCTCCAGCCTCCTTCTCACCTCCTGCCATCTCCTGCATTTTAGTTCCAGGAAGACTGAGGATCTGTTCTTGGTTTCTTTTCACTGCTCTTGACGCTCCCAGCTTTCTTATCTGGTTCAAATGTCACTGTCTCTTGGAAGCTTTCCTGGATTTCCTAAGTGGACTTAGTTTACCCTTCTAAGTTGTCTCTTAGCATACCTCATATTCTTTATCATTTGAGGAGCTAGAATAATTCATTGATCTATGCTTCCTACTAACCAAAAGGTGTTTGAAGATAGAAATCCCATTATATTCCCAGTCTGGCACACGGCAATGATTCAATAATTGTTTGGCTAGGAGAGGACATTCCCAAATTAGACACTAGTTTTTGGTATAGACCTGGGCTGTGGACCTTTGGTCATGGTAACAGACTGTGTGATGGCGGCACCACAGGGGGAAACCTTGAGCTTCAGGGAGTTTAAAAAAGAAAGAAAGAAAGAAAGAAAAATGGCCCCAACTAATCTTTTAAAACTTTTAGTTGCCTAGGAACATTATTTTGGGGAGGTAAAGCTAGAGATGCTGGATGAGCACAAGGCAATCAGTTATGTACTCAGCACAGGAAACTTGGCCACCCTGGAGATGCCAACAGGAATTCTGCCCAATTCAGGTGCTCCACACTGAATGCACCTATGCAAATTCAATTAAATCTCTCCTTCAGAAAAAATAAAGAAAAGTCAAATAAAGATGAGAGATAATAAAGTTCTAAAATACTTTGTGGGCATACCTACTTTTCTTATACCCTCATTAGAATGAGGCCTATGATGTGTTCTGGTCAATGGACTGCAACTGGAAGTGACATGCACCACTTGTGGGCCAAAGCATAGAAACGGAGGCAGAATTCTCCAGGCCCTTGCTTCCCTGCTGTGGTGATCATGGAGGACTCATGCTGAGATGGTGAAGCAAAAG